TGTACGCCAGACCACGTCTCGCGTAACAGGCTTCGCGATATCTCACGAAACACTGTTACGCTGCGACGCGCCTGGCATACATCTACCTAGGCCTGCGGCGCTGACACCCGAGTCGGGTAGTGCAACAGTGTACACAAAGATGCGGGCCTCCGGCCCGTCAACGGCCCGTCAATTTGACTAAGCATGCAGGGTTGTACATTTTTTCGCTTATTTTCGTCAAAAACACCCTCTTGCGCCTCAACGGTTAGGGATAGAGCCAAACGGACGAAATTTTCGCCCAAAGGGCTCTACTTTGATGAGTTATACCCCTTAGAAAACATTAAAAAAATATTTTTAAAAAACGTCATTTTGGGGACCTGTGGTTTTCGATTTTTTTAAAATTCAATTTTTGAGCTAGAATGCTCTTCTTCGAACTTGATCTGTCTTTTTATGATACAAAACGACCCTGAAAATCCCAGTTCGCTAGCTCAATTCGTTCTCGAGTTATCGTGCGTACAGACAAACAGACAGACCGACAAACAGACGCGAAACTTTTTGATCATCAGTGGAGTAATAGGCTTCGCTAATCGCTCAGCCAATTATTTTTTTCAGCATGGAGGACGCTCTCCGAAAAGGTGAGCTGGTTGTCCTTCACGGCACGGCCATTTCAGACGAAGACATGATGGTAGCCATGAAAATTGCTGGCGAAAAGGGGCGGAAATTTGCTGTGGTGGGGAAGGACTGGAGGGTCCACGTCAAGAACAGAAAAACTTGGCCGTAAGTACTCTTCGTTTCTGTTTGCGGTATGACTTAATTGTTATTATAAAGGTTAATATTCGCGTGTTCCCGCAGACTACTAGTAGTTGAGACCAAACTTTTAGGCCTTCAGAAAGTCGTTAGCCTCTTAAAAAAGCGACGCGAGGTGTCGGCGGCACCGGTCTTAGCCCTTCATAATGATGGTTAGTACATTGGTCAGGCAGCACCCAACCTCCGAGCGTCATACAGTTCTTAACTTTCCTCTTTGTTCTGTTTTGTTCTAAGTTGACAACTTTGGACTCTGGGAAACCTTAAAAAAAGAGACAGGTTTTGTGAGGATGGGGCCCAATCTTCATCTTTCGACTTTAGAGGCTATTTGTGTCAGCGTGGTTTATTGTCTGGCCCATTTACTTCAAAGGAGAAGAGACGAGGCCGCAGGACGACCGCAAAAGGCGAAGCTGGAGGAGGTAAGGTTCAAGTAATAGTGTCATGAAACACTGGTAAATATCTACCTAGTATGACTTAACCAAACATACTTATTCTTCATCCAGGTGGCTACCGTCGTCCAGACTGCCTCCGCAGTCCTCTTAGACATGAGAGTTCCAAAGTCCTCCCAAATTAATGACTGTATCAAAGAGCTTCTCAAGAGGGGTATTTTATCTTCGCCTGGTGGGCTAGAATCCCTTCTGCTTATCCGTGAAAACTGAACTGTGGACATCGAGGAACCCGTAGGACCTTGCCTGTCCGTGTTCGCAAACACTGTTAAAAAAACCTACAGGAAATTGTACACTGAGCCCTGTCAATTTGTTACCACGTCCGCCACTGTACTTTTGGATTACGGTCCACTTCGTACAGGATGTACTGTAACTTCGCAAACCGTCTTTTTGGTCAATACAGCACTTGGCTTGACAGCGAAGTGCGGTCAATATCTTTACATTCCGGCCTGTACATAAAATATACAGGACGGACTGCAGGCAATCTGTACTTACTTACAGCTTTTTAACAGTGAACCTACCCCTGTTTAATTGTTGGGCTGTTACCCAAACTAAATTGAACCATCAAGCTCCCCCCGAACGGGTTCCTTTAAAAATTATTTTTTTGTTTCCTGTCCATGTTCATTCTAGAACTCATCAAAGAACAGGATCAAGAAGCAAGGTTAAAATACAACCATATCATGAGCCATGGAAAGAGTTTTGCGGCAAGCCGGGTGGAGCGCCGGCCCCAAAGAAGTGTGCACTGGATAAGGACATTGCTGTCGCTAAGGCACACTGGAGTAAAACAAAGAGCATACAAGATTTTTTAAACTTCGCTCAGCCCACCCTGGAGGCTTTTGAAACTCTTGAGATGGTGCCAGCTGACGATCCCATTGAGTACGTACACTGTAGGGCTTCCCAGCGCATTAAATTTCTACTTACACAGACAAATGTTTGGGGGAAATATGATTTAAATGCCCTCTACAAATTGGCTTTAACAGATTTGTATCCTTCATATTACATTTTATTTTTTTCCCTATGAAAACAATAACTTTGACTAATTTTGAACATTGAAAAATTTAACATTGATCCCAAATGTCAAATTCTAAACCAAGTACAATTTTGAAGATCTGACCGAGCCAAATCGTACCTTGAGCAGTTCTGATTCCAGAGAGCTTTACCCCAAATTTCTATGGCCAGATTGAGTGCGCAGAAATCAGTTTTACTAACTCTGTGTCTCGTCTTTTTATTTCTACAGACCACTTGACTTTATCCTAGAAGAGGACAACCAGAACAACCTTCAAGATATGTGCGTAATTCATTCCTACACATTTTTAGTTATATTGGGATTACATTTTACATTTTGAACTGGAATATTATAGGGCCAATAAAATTAACCTGTTTTTCTGTTCTGTTTTCAGGAATCAATTAGAGGATTCGGAACCTGATGATCCTGATGTGGTGTAAGAATATTATAAAAAGTAATGTCTAGTTAAACTTAGTTGCCATAGAAAATAATTGGAAACCCTTTAACTTTACAGGGAAATAGATAAACAAGTACATGAAGTGAATGGCGAGGATAGAATTTTGTAAGTAGTACATCCAAATGGATATATTTCGGTGCTTGAGAAAACCTGATAAAACTTACTTTAAAGAATTTCCAATTTAGGGTGCCAAATGCTGATGATGCTGTATCTGATGCTGCTGAATCTGACGCTGATGAATCTCATGCTGCATCAGATTAGGGTTTTAAAGGTGGGTAAATTACCAGAAAATTACCCGGTAACTTTCGGAAATTTACCGGTAATATTGGACCGAAAATTACCGGTAAATTACCCAGATTGCTTAAAACCTTTATAATTTTTCTGTTTTAGCACCCAAAACGAACAATTTTGGCCCCTTAATGTGTTTGAACATACATCATTCATTAATTTTTTTCCTTTTATTAGTTATTCTCGATCTTTAATGGTTATTTATTACAAATTGTGAATGTTAAGGCAAGGACAAAAATAGGCTTTTTGGTTAGGATACGGACGGATTTCTACGAAAGACTCCAATTCGTGTCGAAGTGGGTGGTAGCCTGGGGTTTTCGGGTATGCTGGAGCAATTTTTTGTGTCCGTTTGCACCTCCAGGATCATTCTGAGGATGTCATCGGGGACCTCAAGTGTTTGGCGATGGCGCCTGTCCCTCCCGATGATCTAGGCTTAAAATGGGGGTTTGGGGGTAAGCTGAGGCCATTCCCGGTGTCCGCTTGCACTTC